AAGCGATATTCCTAACCAAAGGGACCAAAAACCATACGTCATTCACCACACCCCCTCCCCCGGTTACTTTTCCGCTCTTAAAATCTGTCATGACACTCGCCCTGTTGTTCAAACCTATCGGATTCAAGTAACAGTTTTGCGACACTCGTATTGCATGTAGCAAAATTAGGTCATATAAGTGCCGAGGATTAGAGGTGTTACAAGAGATTAACATACACAAACAGACGATAGATGTTTGAAAGAAAAGAAGGAGCAAGCCAAAATAGCATCATCAAGTCGATCAAGATTTTTTTTTAATGCCTCTAACCATTAGAGACTAGCTGAGTGCTACTGCAAACAGGTGTTAAAGTACACACTGCCTGTTAAAATAATGTTAACAACTAGACCGTATTGACAACGAGACCAAACGAAACTTTTAATGATAAATCAACACGTTGGCACTATACTCCATGATTGTTCCGCCTCGACAGTATCCCAGCAACAAAAGAGAAGTTACGTGTTTGACCGAGACTAATTGCTTCTTTTTACAACAGGTTTTTGTTTTCTCTTACCTTCATGTCTCACGCGGAAACTAATAGCGTGAATCTATGGTAAATTGATGTTTTTTCTTACAACCCCAACAGAGCTATAGTTAAGAAATATAGTAGAGAACTTTGCCGTCACAAAAGCATGACCAGTTTGCTTGAACTTGAAGGTCAGTTATATTTTTGAAGTGTGAATCTGTTATTCTGATATTAATACCAAAAAATAAATATAACCAACCTTCTTAAACTGCTGCTTAGTCATAATTTTGTGTGCATCTGTTATTCTGTTATCCATCTAAAATCCAGGCGCAAGAGTGCTTTCAGATCGTGTACCTTAGCCACGATTGTTCATAAGTATATTATGTTTTTAAGTTTTAGTTTCTGTAACAGTGTTATAGCGATTGCAACACAATAAGCTCTTTTAAGTGCGGAGATTAGAGGTGTTACAATAGAGTAAAAACACCCCCCAACAATTAAGGAGGAGGGATGAGGATGACAGATGTTTGGCAGGAAAGAAGGAGCAAGCCACACAAGAACACCCACCAACAACCCACGGGGCATGTTTACGTTTCGTATTCTTTTAGCCTCATTGAATCATCGAGGTCCCCTTATCATGATCTTTCAGTGGTCAGATCCTATCAGAACTGCATCAGTGTGTGAGGCATAGGCTTTATTTGAAACCGTCCCTAAAGTTGTGCTAGGTCAGGGTTACAGGCAGTTTCTCTGGTAGATATATTTCTGTATAATATTATAACAATATTATAGCTAACTGGGTGAAAGATGAAACAATGACTGTCGTTACTTGTAACTAGGCTTTTGGACGCACTGAAACAATGCAACTAGATAGTAATGTATAAATCAATAACACGCCTTTTTGTCAATATCATAGCGGGTGTTTGGAGGACACCACTGGTAGTACATATATTACCTTAACTTCACGTCTCATATTTCTATATGTAGGTGAATCTTGCTCTCTTCCATCTTTAAATTACCTTTGTTTTGTCTATATGAACATTTTCCCGACCAAACTAAGCTAATCGTTGAAAAAAATTCCCACATATACATAACAATGCATTTGTTCAAGAAGAAAGAACAAAACAGATAAATAAATCCAATCCCAACTCCAGAGACTGACACATAGAACGGCAGGATGGATGACACACAACTGACAAGAAAGCCAATCAATCACTCGTTTGTTCTGGATCTAAATAGCCGTTAGAATGAAACAAAAAATATGTAGAACAAAGATCAAAAGACTTGCTTGTGAGAGGAATCTGTTTGATTATCTGGGGGGGGGGGAATGATAATAATAACAACAATAATGACAGCATTTACAATAACAGCAACAGCAGCAGCTACGGCAACGACAGTGACAGAAGCAAGGATAGCCCCAGAAACTCTAAGCACAATAAAAAACAATAAAAACAACAAGAACACCACCATCACAACCACTACTACCATCGCCAACAGCAACAACAACAACAACAACAACAACAACAACAACAACAACAACAACAACAACGCGCATAACGGCAACAACAAAAAGTAGAAGAATAGAAGAAGTAGCAGAATATCCCTTCACCTCAAAAGTGGCACACTCCTCATTCGACATTTTAAAAAAATTCCTTCCAGAAATAAAATATTACGTAACAACAGCGTGAACACATGTTTTCAGCATTTCGGGGCCAGCTAAAGGTTACAGACTAAAGGTTACAGCACTGAGTGATTTCGTGAGGCGATATCGCCTACTAGTGGACAATTTTGATGGGCGGCGGGGATCACCCGGGTAGTTACTTAACTGACACATCAGTTATATTATAGTGCTGTCAAAAATTCGAGGCGCATCGTATCCTCAAATATCTTTATGACTGCTGAATCAGTGTCACCCATACTTTACACAGCAGTTGGTCTCAATTTGTCTTAACTTAATCATACTTTTCAACAACAAATGAGGTTGATTAAAAAACCGTTCTTCATAAATTTATATAGAATACTAGAAACCTCCTTCATGCGGAAAATAGAAATTGTTGACAGCACTTCCAGCTCCTCACACACATTTTGTGTACGCATAATATGTTTTACGTCACAGCTCACCAATGACATTTTTTAGCGGCAAAACTAGTTACAAGAATTTAATTTTACAGTGAACACTTTTTTGCACTAAAAGTTCTCTAAGCATGCGTTCAATTAAGATAATCTCGCAATTAGAAAAAAATGACGGACTTGCTTTTAAAAGCGATATCGTCACAGCTATAAACCTTTTAACATCAGTAGAAACCACCCTCTAGGTATCTATTAAGGAATTTTCTAAAAAAGAGCCAACAGGTATGTACAAAAATATTGATCTGTTAAGACAAACTAATACAAGTCACTGTGCAAAAGCAGGAGCGTTTATGTTCGATAGTTGAGAAGATATTTGACAATAAGTCGTGCCACGAATTTTTGACCGACCTATAGTGACCCACTTAGAAATAACATATCAGGTACATGACGGTGGGCGGTAGAAAAATGTTTGGCACTTAAAGGTGGCAAAAGTGGACGCTGGGTGTTAAAGGTTGACAAGAACTGGACTTCTGCAGACAATGTCAAAATTATGTCAAAGAAATCACAACGACTCTTACCACAGTGTTGTTTAATCTATTTGTTGTTTAATGTATTTAATCTATGCTATATCAATACGCATCAGTCTTTTGTTTTATGATAAGTGTTGGTTTTATACTTTTTTCTAAAGATGTGTTCACATTGATCTCTTTAAATGTGTATGTACGTATATATATATATATATATATATATATATATATATATATATATATATATATATATATATATATATATATATATATTCAGGCCCCCATCGACACAACTTTGATCATTTTGAAGGTGGGCTTCGACCCAGCCTGCCAGGGCCACCCCGGGCTTAGAGTGAAAAAACATCGACGTAGACAGACCTCAACACAGGAGTAAAATTCTCCACACGTGCCTGTCCGCTACATCAGTTGCCGGTCATGTTGTTTGTAAGATCGAAAATCACGTTATGACTTTATCCAGCGTCGACATCCCTTTGAAAAAAAAATGAATTGTCATCCGCGGATCCTAGGCTTGAAACCGAGTCGTGTCTAATACGGGGTGCCCATTACGGATGGGATCGCCCGATCGCCCGACTCGATTGCCTCAAAAACAAACAGCGTAGTGGGCACCCCGTATAAGCTTCATATTGAACCAGGCAATTTTGACACTGGATCAGAAATAGTGTGACTTTTGTGTACTATTTCGAGAAAGAG